TGATTGTATTAAGGAATTCTAACTTAAATGTTAAGAATTACCATGATATTATAAAATAGATTCCTTTATTAATTAGTATTCAAATGATTAGTAAAAAAGAATCTGGTTTTATAATTTTCATAACGTGGTAAAAGAATAATTACATATACTATTAATTATCATTATGTACAATCACGTATACCCCACATATACTTGCTCGTAAAATTTTACCTGGTTCACAAAAGAATTTCATAAAAGAATTTAAAAATTACACAAGAGTTAGATTAGTGGAGGATGTCTTCATGATTTACTATCTTTAAACTTTAATGTGTTTAATTGGAAAAACTTAAAATTATCTAGAAAGAATGATAATTTAAATTTAGAAGACATTTTAATATTAGGGCTAAGATATCTATAGGAAGACCTATCTATTATGATTTTGAGTATAACGAAATGTTAACTATAAAAGTATGTAAGAGGTTACGTTCTGAAGACACTTCTGAGTACTATATTAGCGAATCAATGTATGGATGCTATTTTAATAGACCAACGGTAAATAGTATCTGTAAAGAACTACCAAGATGGTATAAATATAAATAGATACTCGGAAGTACAATATCAAAACAATAATCGAAATTACTTGAACTGAATAGTACTATTGCACTTGACCTTGTTCTTAAGTCAGGATGGAATTCTGCAATTAAGATTAGTTGTTATGTCGAGACAAATTAAATCAGAAAGATAAGAAATAAGTCACTTAATCATATAAGAATATTAATCTTGAATTTAAGAAAAATATTAGATGATAAGAGATAATAGAGATTAGTTGCTCTTAAAATAATTCATATTCAAATGAAAATGAATAAAATTTTACCCATGAAATAAAGAATTATGTTACTAAAAAGAATCATGATAACAAATCGAATATAAGCAACATAATCAAAATAAAAATAATAAATAGTTAAGATTTGAATCATACCGAATTCGATTATAAAGAAGTGATTCTAGAAGAATCACATAAAACAAGAGAGTAGTATATAAAGCTTAGAAATAAGAAGATCTTATTTTTTTTAAGAAAACATAATACTTCCACATATTAAATGAAAGGATTTATAAACTAAAGAAAATTTTTGAATATATTATTAACTGGAAAATTAACCGAATTGGGGATTTAATCCAGAAGAAATTGTTTGGACTATTATGATGTCGAAAATAAGATTTAAGTTTCTGCTCAAACATTGCTGATACAAAAAGAAGAGCAGCTATCTTTGCTGGAAGCAAAATTCAGTAGAATACAAAAGTTGATATACCAAACATGAATCCGTTAGACTTTAATTCAAGCTATATCTGTTACAGCTATATAAATTTTTATTACTACTATTACAAGTCATCTATGTTAGCCTACATGCCGTTCTGTACCACAACTACGTGATAACCCCAAAATGAAAGGAAATAGCCAAGAAACAACTAAAAAAAAAAAAACAGCTATAACTAAGAAGAGAATCAATTTCACGTTACGATGTGAATATTACTTATTCTAACAAAAAGTTTTTGTACTATACTGTAGCCGCAAAGCTTAATAAATATAAACAAGAGCAGAACAAGCTTTTGTGTTATTGGTGTAGCCAAGAATACTAATATTTTTTTTATATATCCACCTATACGATCCCAGCCATCACATGACAACATTGTCGAAACAAACTTTGGAATAAGACCCCTACAAAAAAATAAATCTACTATAACTAAAAGAAATCTTCTTCATCTAATAATTTCATTAGCACTTCATAATGAGCCTCTGCTTCTATTTGTTTGTAATCATTCTCTTCTCTTTTGAACCAAGGGATCTCAGATCTACTACTTCCTCCTGTTTCTTCAAAATTCATTTGAATTTCATCTTCAATATTCTCTATACTACTATAATCTATATCTTGTTCTTGTTCTTATTCTCTATATGCAATTTTATTTAAGTATTCAAGATTATCGATATCTTCTTCATTTTTTTTAGCTTCAAATTCAATTGATCTTTCTTCTATATCCATTGAATATTTATCTCATCTAATTGTTCACATACTATCTTCATCTTTATTAGTAATATAATTACCTATGACTATATCTTGATTTCTTTTAGTAATATTAATTTCTTGTTCTTTTCAATCAGATTATTATCGGAAACTTCACCCCAACTATATTCACTTTCTTCATACATTTTATATTTTTCTTGAAGTTGTTTATTTTCTTCTTTTACATGATCAATCCACTAATCTCTTCTAAATTATTAAGTTAATATTTTAGTTATAATAATTATAAGTTTAGGTTTTACTCTTACCATTGTAATTCATTCTTTAATCCTTCTTGTTCTTCTTTTACTGTTACTATTTCCTCTTCTAGTTCT